AAAACCCCCCCCCCCCCCCCCAAACTAAAAATTAGTTTCGGACAAAATGAACGGAAACTGAAAATGTTTTCATTTGTTTCGTCAAACAAAACACATTTTTATGCTATTGTGGACTTGGCCACCAGCGCATTCGGCACATGCACGCCACCATTCTGGAGCGGGGCGCCTGAAGTCACATACAACACACGTCTGTTGGGGGGCACAATTTTCTGTTCCTGCCTCGAGTGCAAGAGGAGCTAGCTACAGCTCTGCTATAGTTGTATAGCAGGTCCGCACAAGGTTCAGGTTGAGGTTGGAGGTTGTCACGCCCTTACACCTTATATTGTTTTTAAGTACTTGCGCTCTGTTTACCTGCTCTCTAGTCCTAACTATGTACACTGTACTGTTATGATTGCTGACCATCAGCACTTCATTTTGTTGCCACTACTGGACCAATGTCTTATGTTTCATACTTTTATGAGAACTGTTCTTATTGTTTCATGTGTTTTGATTTTCTCAATAAAGAAAAGATTCAACTCTAAGTAATATTCACTGTTTTTTTTTCCAGTGCTCCTTTATAGAGTATAAAGACTTCAAACTGGTCTATCGTCAGTATGCAGCTCTTTTCATTGTGGTTGCAGTAGATGAGTCTGAGGTAAGGAATTTCTCTATGAAACTGATTTGTATTTTGAATGCTGAGTATGAATTGAAATAACTGTAATATCTGAAATCTAACAATCTTATTACAATTTCATGGATACAATACAGTAGCATAGGGCAGAGGCTAGTAATAAAGTTAAAAAAAGAGGGGGTGTTATTTTTGTCTTATTTCTGTAAATAAGCAGTGTCCATTCTCTCAGCAGACCCAATCAAAAACCAGAATAACGTATGCTGTGTCTACAGGGAAGAGGCTGCATTAACTTTATTTAGTTCAATTCCCTTTCTCAACATTTTCCAGGCTACACAAGTTTACAATGTGCTGTAATGAATATGTGCAGCCACTCGTATGTGCAGCCACTGGTCAGTTCTCATGTCTGCTTCTTAAAGAATTAGTCCAGCAAATACTGATATTTCTGTTTTGGCTGGAGGTCAGAAGGTTGAATTACCCTCAAACAGCTTCTGTTTGACACTGGCACTCAGAGCTCTCACAATGAGTGCTCAGCAATGACAAAGGGGTTTGTCTTTGTTTAACCATCTTTTGCTGCACTTCTGTTATGTGATGAATGTGCAAGGTTCTATAGTTTGGCTTTTCAGTGGCTATGTTGGGAGGCAGAATTGCGAATCCTATTGGGAGTCCCCAAAGACATATAAGAAGTCACCGGACTAACCTCCATTAAAAACTAAAAGGTAATTTATGGGTGGACTAGATGGGCCTGTAGAAGCATATTCACATGCAGATCTCTAGTTTTTATGGCGACTGTGCTGTGTATATTTAAAGTTTAAAGTGTTTTTATTTTGGTTAAAAGATATAAAATTTAGCTAAGGAGAGACATATGGATGCTATTTATTATGTTAGATGTCATGTAAGGCTGCAGATGGTGGATCCACTGTGTTGTCTGCAGGTTTGCTGGAGGTGTAAGTCAAAGTGCAGATTCTAAGGAGCCGCCTGGTATTCAGCAGGGCATCCTGCAAGGGGTGATTGACTTTGCTACAGAACAGCTCCCAGGTTGGGGCCCTCAGACATGCAGTCACCAGCTGACCAGACACATTGAATGATCTGGGGTCACTGGGTGACACAGGATGCTCTGGGGTCACAGGGGACACTGGGGTCACAAAGGATACAGGTTGCTTTGGAAACACTGGGGTGCTGGACACACAGAAGTATACAGTAGCAGGAGTCTCTGGAAGCACTATGGTGCTGAACACACAGAAGTGCACACTAGCAAGGGTCTCTGGGAGCACTGGGGGGGTGGGTGCCCAGACATCACAGTAGAAAAGGTCTCTAAAAGCACTGGGGTGGTGGACACACAAAGGTGAACAGTAGCTAGAGTCTCTCGTGGCACAGGAAGAGTGCAGGGATCGCTGGAAACACTGAGGTCACAGAGTCACTGGCAGCACAGGGGTGCAGGGATTGCTGAGACATTTGGGTCACAAGGGGGCACAGACATTACACTGGAGCCACCACGATACTGGGGCCACAGGAATGCTTTGGGGACACTGGAACTAAGAACTGGAACTCTGGGTCACTCGGAAACACTGGAACAGGAGCCTGCGGGTCTAAGGGCAAGGGCTGTGGGTCTGAGCAGGGCTTAAATAGTGGTGCTGATACACAAGCTGGGCAGGAAATAGCCGAGGATCGGCTATATCAATCAGCAGGTGGGCTTCGGCTACGTCTAAAGCTGCCAGACCAGTGCAACAGCGAGGTAGGAAAAGACTACATGTGGAACAAAAAGGTAACAGATCAGCTTTGGATCTGATCTGCGGCATTAGATAGACATTAGATTACAGGCATATCTATATTTAATGCTGTAGAACCTTGTGATAGATTATTTGACTTTTCAGTCAAAAACTTTTTTTTATTGTGATAGTGTTAACATTTTGTTTAATATTGGTTAGAATTGTGCTAGCTTAGTAATTTGTAGGGGATTCTGTGTAATGTGTTATGTCCTGTTAGTATATTACTCAATAAAGGCTTAAATATCTTACATAAAAGTGCCTGATTGGTGTTCCTTTCTTGTTACAGAATGAGATGGCTGTTTTTGAACTTATTCATAATTTTGTTGAAGTTTTGGACAAATACTTTAGCCGAGTGGTAAGTATAATGAGAGAAAGAATCATTGTCAGGGTTAGATAGTCCTTCAAGAGTTTCTGAAAATAGCATAGTGTGTACATGCGTTTTCCAGGGGAAACCCTTTTTTTCTCCACAAATATCAACACCATGCTTGTATATATTGGCGCCCAGCCGTAGCTTATCCTCCTACTCCAGGAAGTAGGAGGATAAGGGTTACCAGATAACAATAATTGCACTCCAACAGCCTCAATTATACACAAATACCCATCAGCTTCAGTCCCTCGTTTCTGAACGTCTATAAATGTTTGTGTTACAGCCTTCTGAACATCCGTTGCCAGGTAGCAGCAACTTTCCACCTCTCCTTCAGTATATAGGGCAGGAACATGTAGAAGTCACAGAGTTTAAAACATAAAAAACCAAGCATAGTGTAACTCCGGTTTATTTAAAACTAGGTAAAAACCGTTACAATTGCCATATGTCTGTGAAGGTTCTCATTCATCCAGGTCATGGTATATCTGTAAAAAATAAGTCAAGGCAACTAGACTTGCTGTGTTTTTCTTGAAGACGTTTCACTGGTCGTCCAACCATGTCGCTGTAAACTGGATCATTTGTACTTACTGTAAAACCTGATCCTCATGCGACCATTGGGGGATACAGCCAGTCTGTGGGGTATTAGCCCTGCCCTTAGGTGGATGTACACTAATGGACATATTTATAAGGCAGCAAAAGTGACATTCGTCAAACCTTCAGTGCAGATAAATCAATCACTGTAATTTAGAACACATGCACCAGGAAGATTCAGCTGCATTTAGTGTTTGGTGAATGTCAAATTCAATACTTTATAACTATGCCCCTAAGTAAAAAGTACCTCCTCTCCATTTTACAGGGAGCTAAAGCCTCCATGATTAATGAACAAGTCATAGACGTTTACTCGTTCACAGAGCATAAAAACATAAACATGCCAGTGTGTAAAACCTTTGTTATGTGTGTGTGTCTCATGAAACTGAATTTTTTTTTTATGGCTAATACAAAAAACTTTAGTTAGTGTTCATTTAGTAACACATTAGTCCTTTGGGAATGTCTAAAAGCAGCCCTGAGAAGGTGCTGGAGAAATCACCACAAAAACCCATTTTTTTAAGAATTAGACCTGCAACAAATTGTTCGATGTGTTGTTTGTAAAAACTTTGAGGGTAAAACTGTAATTGTGAACGTGTGTACAGACGATCAGGTGACCACTTTGCAGATCCTGGTGTTAACCTTAAAAGCAGATCCTGATCCTTAAAATATGATGGATCAGTAGAGAAATTCAGCATCTGAATGTGCCTCTGAAGCCGGAAGGGATTACAAAAAGTGTCTGCTTTCTGGAAAGCAGCAGAGAAGTAAATTTTTATTCGGGGAGCCCAAACAACATGACGTTTGTGGTTGAAGTAAGCCAGATAGCAGAAAGCCGAGCCAGAATCTTTGGCTAAAAGTGTCTTTGCTCACACTGTAGTAATGAGAGGTGCTGTGATAGCCCCTCTCAGAAAAGGGGTTTATTAGCTTGAATCATGATCTGATTAGCAGTACATCAAAGAGCTCCTTCTTCCTTAGGACCTGGTCTTTAGCAGCCATGCAGTTAATGCCATAAAAAGGGAATTTTGGTGAAGTAAAGGTCTTTGGAGGAGAAAGTCCTGCTAGTCTAAAATATACCACGGTGTATATACAGAAAAAGTGAAGACCTCTGTGTACTAGGTGTCACTCCCAATAATGAGCCACTAGGAAGGTCAGAACAGCTTGATCTTTTTGAAAGGATTAGTAAAGAGTTTTAGAGGAATTAAGTAAACCTGTGTGTACAGAGCGCAGAAGATGACCTAAATGTCAAAATCTATCACCAAGTGGTCTCTGAACTGCACAACACACCACGGAACATTTGGATGTGATTATGTTAGCCTTTGGTAAAATAGGTGCAGATCGGAATAGAAGACATCTAGAAGGATATATGTATATCACAACATTAGTATTGTTGGACTTATCCTGCACAAGGTGGCAAATGGAAAAGAGAGTGCTCCAGTGTCAGATTTTAATAGAGAGGAAGGTTTCCGGCTGGGCCTACAGGCCTTCAATTAAAAGGCTGTCATTGACTCCTTCCCAATCAGGATGACATCGGTGGTAGAAATCTTTCAATGGAGCAGAAGAAAGGACTGGCTCACAGATTTCACAGGTCAATGCAACCTCCAGGGTACGTCTGGTCTGAAAAGGAAGGTCAGTTGATGTGCCACAGCTGCCTCAATACAATAGCCAGCACTGGAGATTACTCTGTAGATGGAGGAATTGAGTAATTTCTTGATCGTACAGTACAGGACATAGGCAGATTCACTAATGACTAGGTAATAGGCAGGTCAGCTGATTGGACTTGTTTGCTATTACTAACCTAACTTCTTCTTTTTTTTTAACAGAGTGAGCTGGATGTATCCTTTTTAAGGTGAACCTATCAATAAAATTCCAATTTCCCACTAATCACTGGGGCACATGGCATTATTAATAAATCCAATTATCAATCTGAGTTGATAAAAGTAGCTCTTTTTTAACATGAATTTCTGTTCTCCAACTCCCAGTCTTGACCACATAGCTTAGGCTGCTAGTGATTACTGCAGATTCTGTTGATTTCAATCAGCAGTGAGGTAATGTGAAGGAAAAAAAAGGCTGCACCCGTGTACTCAGAGATAATTACAAGCCAGACATAGAAACAAGGTATTTACCTCACTGATCAGATTGTTTAGGTGAAGCTGAGCTTTTATGTGTATTTTTAAGAAACAAAAGATTATAACTGCCTGGAAGCTCAGGGCCAGCTTGAGCAAAAAAAAATAGGATTTATTTACTCACAGTACAATCCTTTTCTTGGAGTCTACTGAGGGACACAGGAAGCTTTTCACCTTTGGGCTTTACTGCCATCTACAGGAAGATTGGACACTGGCAAAAAAAAACTGTTTCCAACGGCTACATGAATCTTGGGAAAACTTCAACATTTGTCGTTCAAATGCCCAACAGAATTTTAGTGGAGTGTTGTAGGCACTCCTAATTTTCCAACCAACATTGAATAATTCAAGGGGATGCTAGAACATTCCTATGACTTCATTGAAGCCACCTGGAACCAAAGTATTGATATGCTGTATCCAGAAGGTCTTGTGTTTGCAAAGCCTCGGTAATCTAATATAGTTACATAGTATTTGAAGTTAAATAAAGACACAGGTCCATCAAGTTCAACCTTTGTGTAAGTAGTGCGTGTGTGTGTGTATACGAGTCCCTGTGTGGTCTTAGTTTTTATGAGTACCTGTACCCCTGTATGTTATGGTCTCTGAGGACGGTATCTAATTGATTTTTGAATGAATCAATATTCTCTGCTGATACCACTGCTTGTGGCAGAGAGTTCCAAAATTGAACCGCTCTAACTGAAAAGAAGCCCCTACGCCCTTTGTGGTTAAATCTTTTCTCCACCAGTTTTAGGGGGAATATTTCTTCCATTCAATGACTTGCTCCACAATCGTTGTTGATAGTACATGTGGATCTCCGTTGTGATGTGCCAGATGAGTGTCTGACACGCTATGTCAGGGAACCCAGGTGTGATGTTAGATCTGCATTTGTTTAGCCTTTGGCGAAAGGTTTAGATCACTCACATTTTGCAAACCGCATTGACATCTGAGCATGTAAATTATAACTTGTGACAAACAATTTGGAAATGATCGGCCATTTGATACCAGTGCTGGTGGCAACCACTCTATTTGCTTTCTTGTCTAGAGATTGGCAGGCAAGGCGTTTTGTTACTCTGCATTGCAACAGACAGTAATTGTTTGAGGTAGTGTACTTCTTAGGGAGCCCCTTGCCTCTGTTTGAAATTTTGCTTGGCCCTAGACTTTTTTTCAAGGTTGGTGCTTTTCGTTATGTGGCTTTTGCATGAACCAGTATGTCTTTCTTCAGTTATGCATGTGCCAGTGTTTCTCGGTGATATTTTGGACTATCTGATGTTAATCATTATACTGAGTTATGAAATTTAGGATGCAGGTGGTGGGGCTCATCAGCTTTCTATTTGTAGTAGGCATCTACTTTGAGTTCACTTTTCAATTTCTTGTAAATCTGTGTAAAATGAACAATTTCCCCTTAATCTTTTGAATTGTCCAAATGGCTTATTTTTGAGCCAGGGGCTTCAGTTGCAGCCTATAAAGTGTATTGTTATTGATAGGGATGCACCGATACTGGTATTTCGGTATCGAGTACGAGTACCGATATTTTTTTCCCCCGGGACTTGCCCATACCGAATACCAATATCGGAAGTCCCATTAAGGAAGCCAGGCAGCGTGTAATGACTCGCTGGAGGAGAAAGTCCTGCTAGTCTAAAATATACCACGGTGTATATACAGAAAAAGTGAAGACCTCTGTGTACTAGGTGTCACTCCCAATAATGAGCCACTAGGAAGGTCAGAACAGCTTGATCTTTTTGAAAGGATTAGTAAAGAGTTTTAGAGGAATTAAGTAAACCTGTGTGTACAGAGCGCAGAAGATGACCTAAATGTCAAAATCTATCACCAAGTGGTCTCTGAACTGCACAACACACCACGGAACATTTGGATGTGATTATGTTAGCCTTTGGTAAAATAGGTGCAGATCGGAATAGAAGACATCTAGAAGGATATATGTATATCACAACATTAGTATTGTTGGACTTATCCTGCACAAGGTGGCAAATGGAAAAGAGAGTGCTCCAGTGTCAGATTTTAATAGAGAGGAAGGTTTCCGGCTGGGCCTACAGGCCTTCAATTAAAAGGCTGTCATTGACTCCTTCCCAATCAGGATGACATCGGTGGTAGAAATCTTTCAATGGAGCAGAAGAAAGGACTGGCTCACAGATTTCACAGGTCAATGCAACCTCCAGGGTACGTCTGGTCTGAAAAGGAAGGTCAGTTGATGTGCCACAGCTGCCTCAATACAATAGCCAGCACTGGAGATTACTCTGTAGATGGAGGAATTGAGTAATTTCTTGATCGTACAGTACAGGACATAGGCAGATTCACTAATGACTAGGTAATAGGCAGGTCAGCTGATTGGACTTGTTTGCTATTACTAACCTAACTTCTTCTTTTTTTTTAACAGAGTGAGCTGGATGTATCCTTTTTAAGGTGAACCTATCAATAAAATTCCAATTTCCCACTAATCACTGGGGCACATGGCATTATTAATAAATCCAATTATCAATCTGAGTTGATAAAAGTAGCTCTTTTTTAACATGAATTTCTGTTCTCCAACTCCCAGTCTTGACCACATAGCTTAGGCTGCTAGTGATTACTGCAGATTCTGTTGATTTCAATCAGCAGTGAGGTAATGTGAAGGAAAAAAAAGGCTGCACCCGTGTACTCAGAGATAATTACAAGCCAGACATAGAAACAAGGTATTTACCTCACTGATCAGATTGTTTAGGTGAAGCTGAGCTTTTATGTGTATTTTTAAGAAACAAAAGATTATAACTGCCTGGAAGCTCAGGGCCAGCTTGAGCAAAAAAAAATAGGATTTATTTACTCACAGTACAATCCTTTTCTTGGAGTCTACTGAGGGACACAGGAAGCTTTTCACCTTTGGGCTTTACTGCCATCTACAGGAAGATTGGACACTGGCAAAAAAAAACTGTTTCCAACGGCTACATGAATCTTGGGAAAACTTCAACATTTGTCGTTCAAATGCCCAACAGAATTTTAGTGGAGTGTTGTAGGCACTCCTAATTTTCCAACCAACATTGAATAATTCAAGGGGATGCTAGAACATTCCTATGACTTCATTGAAGCCACCTGGAACCAAAGTATTGATATGCTGTATCCAGAAGGTCTTGTGTTTGCAAAGCCTCGGTAATCTAATATAGTTACATAGTATTTGAAGTTAAATAAAGACACAGGTCCATCAAGTTCAACCTTTGTGTAAGTAGTGCGTGTGTGTGTGTATACGAGTCCCTGTGTGGTCTTAGTTTTTATGAGTACCTGTACCCCTGTATGTTATGGTCTCTGAGGACGGTATCTAATTGATTTTTGAATGAATCAATATTCTCTGCTGATACCACTGCTTGTGGCAGAGAGTTCCAAAATTGAACCGCTCTAACTGAAAAGAAGCCCCTACGCCCTTTGTGGTTAAATCTTTTCTCCACCAGTTTTAGGGGGAATATTTCTTCCATTCAATGACTTGCTCCACAATCGTTGTTGATAGTACATGTGGATCTCCGTTGTGATGTGCCAGATGAGTGTCTGACACGCTATGTCAGGGAACCCAGGTGTGATGTTAGATCTGCATTTGTTTAGCCTTTGGCGAAAGGTTTAGATCACTCACATTTTGCAAACCGCATTGACATCTGAGCATGTAAATTATAACTTGTGACAAACAATTTGGAAATGATCGGCCATTTGATACCAGTGCTGGTGGCAACCACTCTATTTGCTTTCTTGTCTAGAGATTGGCAGGCAAGGCGTTTTGTTACTCTGCATTGCAACAGACAGTAATTGTTTGAGGTAGTGTACTTCTTAGGGAGCCCCTTGCCTCTGTTTGAAATTTTGCTTGGCCCTAGACTTTTTTTCAAGGTTGGTGCTTTTCGTTATGTGGCTTTTGCATGAACCAGTATGTCTTTCTTCAGTTATGCATGTGCCAGTGTTTCTCGGTGATATTTTGGACTATCTGATGTTAATCATTATACTGAGTTATGAAATTTAGGATGCAGGTGGTGGGGCTCATCAGCTTTCTATTTGTAGTAGGCATCTACTTTGAGTTCACTTTTCAATTTCTTGTAAATCTGTGTAAAATGAACAATTTCCCCTTAATCTTTTGAATTGTCCAAATGGCTTATTTTTGAGCCAGGGGCTTCAGTTGCAGCCTATAAAGTGTATTGTTATTGATAGGGATGCACCGATACTGGTATTTCGGTATCGAGTACGAGTACCGATATTTTTTTCCCCCGGGACTTGCCCATACCGAATACCAATATCGGAAGTCCCATTAAGGAAGCCAGGCAGCGTGTAATGACTCGCCACCCGACTTCCCGATTAGCAGGGTCGCCGTCCCCATGCTTCTCGTCACTAGGTGACGAGAAGGCATGGAGCTGGCTTTCTGGCCAATCAGGAAGCCGGGCGCCGTGTAATGACTAGGTGACGAGAAAGCATGCAGCTGGCTTTCTGGTCAATCAGGAAGCCGGGCGCCGTGTAATGACGCGGCGCCTGGCTTCCTGATTGGCCAGGAACTCGGCACCATGCTCCCTCGTCATCAGGTGACAAGACAGCACGAAGGCGGCTTCCCGGCCAATCGGCGCCCGGCTTCCTGATTGGCCAGCTTCCCGACCTATTCACTGCCCGGCTTTTTGATGCCGGAAGTATTAGGCTAGGCATCGGAGCATTTGGGACGAGTACTCACCCAAATCCTCGGCAGTGGCATCAATACTAGTATCCACATCGGTACATCCCTAGTTACGGAACGAATTCCGTAGTATCTTTAGCATACTAGGGCAGTTGTTTTAAAAATCTTTGTGAATGAAAATCTATAAACTGCGAGTTGATTTGTTGTGAAAATAGTTGATGGGTCAATGGTAAAAATATGGAACATTTGGGTTTTTGATCAGAATGAACTCCTATTAGTTTTTGTTGATAACATTTTGTATGGAATCCACATATTCTATGGTAAAAAGGTCAGTGGGGTCTGTCTCTAATCTTTGTAGTATCCCTTATCTTCAAGTATCTTCTTGCCTTCCTAATTATAATCTGTTTTGATCTTGAATGACCACAGCTCTGCCCTTATCTGCATTCTCTGGTATGTTCAAGTTTCCTTTTAGACTCTTCAAAGTTATTTCGGTCAAGGCTATAGATCTAATAATATGCAAATGGAGACATTTCATAACAAAACTCAGTATAGAAACTACAAAAGTGAAAGACGATCTGCTCTCTTATACACATAAATTGTGCGAAATAAAGGAAAATTTCAACAAGAAATTTAATAAATAAGAATGTGATAAAGAAGACTACGCACAAGGAAAGACAATAGCCCGGGAATACAAGAAAACTTTTAAGAACACTGGATCTTTAAAGGTACCTGTGGAAAGGTAGAGTCCGAAGTGGAGTGAGGATAAGGCTAGGTGGTGTCAAGCAAGCAGAATCAGCAAGAGACGGGCAGTGAAGTACAAAATGAGGTTCCAGGAGAGTAGTCGAGAAACAGACTGAGGTCTAACACGAACAGGCAGAGAGGTACAAAATCAGCAGGCAGAAGAGTAGTCAGGAAACAGGCTAAAGTCTCAGTAATATTAAGCGATCAACCCAGCAGCAGTACACACAGGAACAAACCCAAATAAACAGGCTCAGAGCACAGGAAGTGCTCAGTATTTAAAGGCTGAGATGATTGTGGATTGACTGCAGTTGGCAAGCAGGTGGTGCTAGAGAGTCCAGAGGAAAGCTTCAGAAGAGAAACTGCAGTACAAACGTGAGTCCTCCTGGTGGCTGAAAGGCAATGCCTCAGTACTTCTACCCCAGAGACCCCGGTTCAAATCCCCACAGCCACAAAGCAGGTGCTGGGCAGACGAGCATATCTAGCCACCATAGACGAGCATATCTAGCCACCAACCTAACATCTCCAATTCCAATAATTATCAGAGAAACCTTCAATCGGGTCTCCCTTCAGGAAGACACTACCAACAAACCTTTACCCTTTGTAAGAAAAGAATTGATGGCAATACCTCAAGAATTTTTACAAATTATATAATTTGGTAATAAATTTATATTTGGACATTTAACCCCCAGTGTGGCACTTCAGTCTCAGATTCAAGGAGGATAGAGACTACTGTTCCAGTGGTTGCACCTCGACCTGCGTAGCAATGAACATGGAGACAGGGAATCACAGAGCTATACTGAGACCAGGAAGAAAAATCCCCTATGGTTACTAAGTGAAGACCCTGGAAGCTGCAGAGTAGTGCACCAACTGTCCAGCTCCCCAGCAGCACCTCCGAAAGTTACCCACCAGTCCTGCAGCCTAGCCTAGTCTCCCTCACAGCACTTTTGCTTCCAAAGTACCTGCGGAAGTGACATAACGTAAGGGCAGCAACTCTAAGCAAACATGGTGTTTTCTGACTCTGTAGGCTGCAAACCACACCCTCAATCACTGGATAGCTCGACTGCGGGGGGGACTAAAGGACAGGGTTGGGGATGGGTTATACCTTACTGGTCAACAGCTTTTTTTGGTTGATAATGTCCATTTGCTCCTGAAGGTGGCAGTATAACCAAATTGTCTCTGAATAACTGAATCCTGTAATAAATTAGAAATTCTGTGCATTAACAATGTATCCACTCAACCAGCATATTATACTTCCAATAGGATTCTAGGTTAGGCGGTCCTATCCATAGCAGACTCCAGGTAGTATTGTGTGCTTTATTTAAATTTAAAAAAAACTTTTTTTGAACTCAATGCCTTGACTCAGTCACACAGATCATGTTTAATCTCGACAAGGTGCACATTATTTTGGATGAAATGGTGTTAAATGGCTGTGCTGTGGAGACAAATAAAACCCGGATTCTTGCTCCTCTACTTGTACTGGACAAAGTGGGAGACAGCTGAAGAGTACCTCTGTGCACGCCACCACATGGGCACAGATCAGAATGCTGGAACTCTCTGTAAGTAGTCTTCACAATAGGATGAAGTACATTTAAAAACACTTTTTTTTAGTCTGGCATTTCTTCATCACTGCTCTAATTTTCAGCGTGGACTGTTTCCTGGTCAAGATGTATGTTCTGATCACTGCGAAGAGTTTAAGTCAAGCGTTGAAACAAGACAAGATAGTAAGCGCCGCTCTTGAGGAAGTCAGTAGATGACAAAATGCACTGAACTGAGCAGCTGTCACCACCACTGCTAAAGTATATTAGTATTGACTTGTGATTGGAAGTCTCTTCATCTGCATATTTGTTTGGGAACTAATTACCATAAACTCCCCCTTATCTGGTATTCATCTAACCAAAAAAAAATCCCCCGTGTACTCACTGTTTTGCTGATCTGCAGTATGTATTATCCTGGAAATGATTTCTATTTGTCTTAATTTGCTTTTGATGACTGCATTTCATTATTAATAAGAAGTCAATACAGAGGTTGTTATGGCATTATGAGACCTATTTTTTTAATAGCAACTTTCAAGCAACCACAAATGACATTTATCCGGAATCTACCAATCCCCATGGATGCGGGATAACTGGGAGTTTACTGTAGTTTGTGCTGGACACAGTGCACATGGTTTTATCTTTCTTTATTAAAGTGTTTTTACCCTGATTATATTTATCTGTGTCCTTGATGGGATTTTGACACAACGGGGGGTATTACATGATTGGAGGAGAAGTGGTATACTGTTTAGTTGGTGAACTAACGAAAGAGGGGAAATATATGTTTAGAGTTCTAACTTGTGTACATGTTTACAAGGTCACATCAGCTTCAGTGAGGAGGGGAGCATGGTGGAAGTGGAAAACAGTGGTTGAAATTTACTATGTAGAGTTTTGGGATGTCAGTCACCACTCCCCACAGGGATTCCTCCCTCCCCACTCCATTCCTCCAGCACTCATCGGAGGGACAGACAGGGCAGGGGGCAGGCAGAAAGGCAGAGCCAGCTGTCAGCCGGGTGAATCGCAACGATATTGTTGGGATCCTTCCTGGCGGCAGTGCGGATCTACACTCTCACCATACAGCGGGTAATGGCCTGCTATATGCCGAGTTTTAAGTCATAGGAGGACATTAGTAGATACATCCTCCTGTGACCCTAAAGAGAACTATAGACAAAAAAGGTTTGGCCATAGTTCTCTTAAAACTTTTGAACAGCACCATCCATTGTAAGTGATGTGATCAGCATTTGAAATACTTTAAAAACCTTTTGACTTTATTATCACTTTAAAATGAGGTAAATACGAGTTACAACCTTAGATGAAGCCATGTGTGTGAAAAACTAAGTGCACCTTATGATTCAGTAGCTTGTGGAACCACCTTTATCAGCAATACGTTGAAGTAATTGTTTTCCGATCAGTCTCCCATCATTGTGGAGGAATTTTGGCCCACTGTTCTATACAACGTTGCTTCAGTTCATTGAGGTTTGCAGGCATTTGTTTATTCACAACTCTCTTAACAGAATTTCTGTTGGGTTGAAGTCTGGACTTCAACTGGGCCTTTGCAACTCCTTGATTCTTTTCTTTGTCAGCCATTCTGTCGTAGATTTGCTGGTGTGCTAGGGATCATTGTGGTGGACCCAATTTCGGCCAAACTTTAGTTGTCGGACAGATGGCGTCACATTTGACTCTAAAATACTTTGGTATACAGAGGAGTTCATGGTTGACTCAATGACTGCAAGGTTCCCAGGTCCTGTGGCTGCAAAACTAGCCCAAATCATCACCCTCTACCACTGTGTATGACAGTTGATATGAGTTGTTTGGTTTTTGCCAAACGTGGCGCTGTGTATTATGGTCAAACATCCCCACTTTGGTCTCGTCTGTCCATAGGACATTGTTCTAGTAGTTTTGTGGTTTGTTTAGATGCAACTTTGCAAACTTAAGTCGTGCTGCCATGTTCTTTATAGAGAGGAGACTTTCTCCTGGCAACCCTTCCAAACAAACGTACTTGTCCAGTCTTTTTCTAATCGTGGTCATGAACGTTAATATTTAACATGCTAACTGAGGCCTGCAGAGTCTGAGATGTAACTTGTGGTTTTTGCAATTTCTCTGAGCATTGCACGGTCAGATCTTGGGGTGAATTTGCTGGGACGCCCACTCCTAGGAAGAGATTGGCAACTAGCTTGAATGTTTTCTACTTGTGAATAATCTTCCACACTGTAGAATGATGGATTTTAAATTGTTTGGAAATGGCATTATAACCCTTCCCAGATTGATGGGCAGCAACAATTGCTTCTCTAAGACCATTTCTGATGTCTTGCCTCCTTGGCATTGTGTTAACAAAAATCTGAATCCTCCAGACCCACAAAACTGCTAAAACTTCGGCTTTTATAGAGGCGGTAAAGGTGCCCATACACCTTACGATAATGGTATGCGATCGACTTTTCGTACGACAATGGTAACGTGTGAATAGAGTGCCCGACCGATAGTACTGTACAATCGTACGACTTTTGATGGTCAAGCATGTTTGAAAACTTTGGTCGATCGTACGATGTTCACATGGTTGGTGGCGTTTCCGTCCATGAAAAGTCGTACGATTAACACTGCGCATGCGCAAACGAAAATAATTGCAGTCAATTACCGCAAGTCGTCCAGGTGGTTTTCTTTAACTACCGCTGATTGAACCTTGCGATAATCGGGGCAGGATGGGGCCGTCTTCCGAAAATCGTACGACGGTTCAATCATCGGACGAAAAGTTTCGTCCGATAATCGTAAGGTGTATGGGCACCTTTACACTTGCCCATCAGTTAATCAGAGGCATTTGATTAGCAGCATTGGGCTGCTACTTAGCATCTTACTTCCTATGGAAGCAGTAAAGGTGTACTTAATTTTTGACACATAGCTGCTCCATTTTGTCTTTGTTCATCTGAGGTTGTGTTTACCTCATTTTAGGATCTGCTTGTGTTTACCTCATTTTAGGATCTGCTAAGGACCAGATGATGTTTAAACCGATACCTAAAACCATAGAATTCAAAGAGGGTTTACTTTTGTTTTCACATGCCTGTATGTTATTTAGTGTGAATTAGGATTTATTAAATACAATGATGAATATTGCTTTGCAAATATTTAAACTTGATGCACCGATACCATTTTTTCAGAACAGGTCATTTCCCTCAGGTACTTGCCAATACCAATTACTTTTTCTAAAAGGGACATGTGATATTTTTCAATCTATGATTATTCAGCAGTGGAAAATGGCAGCCAGCTATAGAAGACTACAGAACCGATCAATCCATGATTATACAGCAATGGGGAATGGCAAGGGGCCCCCTGGCTGTGTGCGATTTCTCTAGGGTTGCATGCGGGGCTCTCCAGGGCTGAATGGGTGGGTGTGGGGCAGTCCAGGCCTGTGCCGGTCTTGGGAAGATGTGAAACCGGATCGGCACTGCCAAGGACAGCTATCGCAAGGTGCTCAGCAGGGTGCCTGAGGTCCCCAACAAGCATGGGACTTCAGGCAGCCAAAATCATTAAAAATGTAAAGCACCGGCGCCATGTATCGGCATTTTCACAAACCCTCGATCATTACTAGTATCAGTGCATCCCTAATTTAAACCCTTTCCAGTAACCAGTCATATATTGGCTTTAGGAAGAGTACTATAAAATCAGACATATACATGTCTTTTCTATAGGTTACAGGAACATATTGTCTTTATATAAAGCATTATATGTGTACAAAGCTGAAGGTGTGCCTGTTATTTATTTGTAAACCATCAACAATTTAAAACACATAACAGACTTGGTAGGTTAGATTTATCAAATGTTTCAACCAAATTTGTTGCTATAGTGAAAATCCTATTTTCTCTTCCGTTCACAGAAGGACACGGCGTATATCCTGAATCTGTAACCATTGGGCCATCCAAAATCACTGGACACTGAGGGGTGGGAAAACACAAACAACTCTTCCGACAGCGTAACAAGCCATGGCCAGATCCATTTGAAGAAATGACTCAGGAACCCAGCGGCCATAGACTACGGGGTAATCTGCACAGAATGAACCAGCTAGGCATCTATGGCCCTGAAGTCAAACAGAGAAAAGACGGATGTATATCCCATTTAAGGTAGAAGCCGAATCACAAAAGGAAGGCAAAAAGCACCTGGGCCCCGGCACATTCCAATGGGACCAGTAGGACAAAACCTCGAGCTCATAGAACATCTCACAAAAGGTAAGTAATAAGAAATATTCCTAATAGAGGAGAGAGAACAAGGCACTGATGGAAAAACACTAAATCCAAGGAAGTCGTAGAAGGTTGTACCAGAGGGAATATATAGGTCGCACCCATACAACCTAAACATGGTAGCTGTTCTAGGGAACAAAGGCAAGTCCTGGGAGGAATCCCAGCCAGCAGACAGATGCATGAATGATACATATCTGACAGTACACAGGTGACGGTGAACTACCCACAGTGAAAAATCCTTGAGGAAGCTTCATTCCATGCAGAGGGGGGTCAGCTATGCCCTGTACATACCATATTGCACACAGTGTAGGACTCACCAAGGCTGAGACACTCCTGTTTCCCAGGACCTGCTCCAAACAGTGGGCCATACAAGCAGACATTGGAACAGTACAGGAAAAAATCCAAAAGGTCCAAGGGACTGAAGATCCAGATGGTCTGGAAAGAGCCACAGCCTAATCCTATCAGGACAGAGTACCACATCCCATTAGCTTATCTGGAACTATGAGGAAAGCCCTCCATCCTGGTTCCACAGAACAGACAAGGGATGAGATAGATAAGATCACATACAGCAGGCCGTACCATCGAAATGGAGGTGCTGTCTGCCTGGAAGCACACTGCGACAAGCAACAAGTCACTTGGTCATGTGTGCCTGGTGTCCTACTCCTGAAGGTGGTGCTATAACCCAGTGGTAACAGATTCAAGATCTACGCTGTGTCCTTCAAGGAATGGAAGAGAAATATAGGCTGTCAGATGTTTCATACATAAAGCTCAGTGATCCCAAAGGA